AACTGCCCAAAAGAGGTGCTTTTCCAAGAAACACTTCCCCTGTGGAAGTGGAGAGATCATTTCCACGTTAGAGCTTGTTGCTGCTGAGCTGTGACTACTGCATTCATCTTTCCTAGCCTACATCTTGTGAAGGTAGTCGGAGTGTGGGAACAGGCTTCTTTTTCCCAGTGCAGTGCTTTTTAGTGAATTGTACGAGGTTTGGGTACCTCTTCTGCCAGCTGCTCCCAGCCCCAGGAGGAGGGAGATGATGGGCAGAACCGAGGCCACAAGCTTGTACCCCAAGGGAACAGGGGCCCAGTGCTTGGATGTAGCCCTTAAGTAAGAAAGAAGCAACCATGCTGTTTCAGGAGCAAGCACTCTTCGTGCCTAAGTGGGACTCATTTTTGTGCCCAATTCACTTTTATACGATGTGTGCATAGTGTGGTACTCCAAGACATGAGTTGACTGCAGAGCTAAGCAGGATGGGCAGGTGGCAGGGGTGATCCAAGCTGCACGGAGGGATACACACTGTGTTAGCTCTTCCTGCTTGAGCCCTCATCAGAGAACAGATAAGCATGGATTTAAGTTATCCTTATGTTTCTGCTGGGGTGCCTCACACTGGGGCCTACGCATACATCCCAGCTGCATCCCTGCTCCAGACTGGGACGGGACGCAGGTGCCCAGCACTTCGGCATGGGATGGGGAGGGCATATGGGTGCAGAACCGTGATGAGAGCTGCCACATGCCCGCTGCTGCCTCATGATGCCGTTGCTCCTTTGTGCTGCATTTAGCAGCTATCCCATCCCAGCTGAAGATTTTCTCCCCCAGGAAGAGGCCAAGGCATCACATGCATCGGCACTGAATGATCTGGAGTTGGGCTGGGGTCTCACGGGTGCAGCTGTATGGGGCACACCTGGATATGTAGTAAGATCTAACCTATGTTTCATAAATGAGATGACCAATCCACAGAGTTTGCCACACTCCAGGATCCATGCCACAGCTGAATGAAGGCTTGATTATAAACCTCTACTTATCAAGTGACTGCAATCACGAGTATTTTAAACAAATTTCCTCTGGTTTGTGTGCATGAATTGTCAGACAGGATGCAAATATCTTTGTCCTTTGTAGAGTAAAGTCTGGAGTGTGAAAGTGCAAGGCTGACAAGAATAGCTGCCATCGGCGCTGCCTCCTCCCCGGGGGCTCCTGCGGCGCCGCTGCCGCTCGCGCTGCAGCTGGGGCAGGAAGGGCTGCGCTAAAGACAGCTTGGGCTAAATGACTTGTGACGTTTTTGGACTCGTGATAAAAATGATGGAGAAAACAGAAAAAAAAAAGCTCTGTCGGCATCCTTAGAGGAAAAACTGCAAAATGTTTCATTTGTTTTTTCCCAGAGAAAAAATGAAAAGAGAAAAAGAGAGAGAAACAGAAACTTTGTTGAAATCCTAGTTCTCTGAGTGGAATTGCACTCCTCTTTCTGCAGTGGGAGCCACAATGCATATCCAAAGGCAAAAGGGAGAAAGGTTTCCTGCTCTCATTTCAGGAAGCAGGGAGGATGAGTAAGAGCTTTTATAACTTGAATTTAAGGGGTGTTTTGTTTGCTAAGGGAGTCATGTAGCTATGAGGGATCACCTTTTTCTGGAAGGAATTTCATATAAAAGCTAGGTTTGAAAAAGAAAGATGGGAAAAGCACCAAATGAAGGAACAAGTCCTTCATTTGCAAACTAAGGATGCAACAGGTGGCCAATATCACAGTATCACTATCACAGGCTGGGTGTTCTGCCTGCGGGTGGTATGGCAAGTGAAATACCTAACCACCAATATATAAACTGTATTTTATGCCTGATATCTTCTTTCTTAGGGGCAATGAAAACACAGATTAGGATGTGATTTGACATAGAAGTGACACTTCTTAGTGTAAGGCATCATAAAAGCCAGAATTGCCCTCTCTTACTAGTGATTTAAATAAAGGTTAATTCAATTGAAAAGGTTTTTTTGTTTCTTTAAATAGAAGTGTCAAGCAGAATATATCTAAAAGAAAGAACCTCAGAGCAGACAGCTGAATAAAGGTGAAAGAAAAAAAAAATGCTATGCCAATGGGATAACATTAAGTGAGTCTCCAGGGTTTCAGTTTAAAATATACATATTAGGAGTCAGACAAAAGCAATCTCATGCTCATCTTAAAGATAGTTTCCCCTATGCTCAGACCCAAAGAGAGGAAAAAGCCAGGGCTCAGCACAGACTCTCAGGGCCATAAATGGGCTCCTGCTGAAAAAAAAGGAGCCACGAGGCAGCACTTCCTGCATCCCGACGTGGCTGAGCACATGCAAAGAGCACGCAAGCCCTGGCAGGAGAGGCCTCCTCAGGGCACCACGGGTGGCTCCACAAGGAAACACAGCATGGAAGCAGGTTTTGGGCTGCCTTGTCCAGGCTGAGAGGTGGAAAATGGCAAGTGCTGCTAGTGCAAATGTGAATTTATGTGCAAAGGAAGGCCAGTGTGCATAGCTGTACACCACAGAGCAAAGACAGGCCTGAGGAAGGCTGAATTCCTCCGTATCTGCCATGGGACAGGAGCTGCACAGCTCCCCAAATAGCCCTTTGTATCCATAAACCAAGACACTGTGGTAATACCACTTCTTCTGATCTGTCCATTATAGGCATTTAATAGACTAAACAGTGTAATACATCTACTGGACATACATTAGTCGAGTATTATGTACAGGTGGCACTTTACAAAATTCGAACTGAAATAGAGCAAAACCCAGCAATGCCTTACTCCATAAAACTTCCTTTCTGCACGACATGAAATATTCTATAAGCTGGACTAGAAAAATATGACTGAATATCTTTTTTTTTCCCTTTTTAGTTTCTACAAAGCTTTTCATCCAGAAAAAAAAATACAAAACAACTATTGAGTTTATCAGAGAGACAACACTTGCACACAGACAAAGTAAGTGGACATTCATAGACCTGCAAGAAGAATAAGGAGAGTTTGGTTTGATAAAACAATTTTCTCTCTATCATGCTTTCCTGTTTTAGGACTGCTGGCCTATGTTCAGAAAAATAAAAATGGGAGGAGGAGCTTGGCTTTGTGAGGCTCTTGAACGGAGGCCGCTCACCTTTTGTAGAAGCTTTAGTTTGAAGCATCAACTTGCTTCAGTTAAAACACTTAAAAGTGAGTGATGCGAAGGAGGAAGCAGGGAAGAGAGGAGTAACTAGGCTGGAAGAATGAAGTCTGGCATTTCTGCATGGGTTGCAGCTGAATTGCCCGCAATGACAAACATGGCAGCATGTGGCATTTTCATAGGATTTTGTGTGTTCCTTCAGGAAACTTGCTCAGGGAAGTGCCATTGACCTCAGCTGGAAATAGGATAAGGGCCATCCAGAGCAGGAAGGGAGGGAGTGTCTGAAAGCAGATAGAAAACTTATAAAATTGGGGGAAGTGTTTCAAATAACCCTTCTTCCTTTTATAAAGTGAAAAGCTAATTAAATGATATGTCTAACGTCATTCCTTGCGGAGCTGGGCAGACGTGGATTAAAGGAAATCACACACCTAGAGATACATTGTCATCATTGCTGGGTTTTTTTCCCAGAGCTTTATAAAACTTCTTGACCATCGATGCAAAAGCAGGGTTTAAAGAGCACCTCACATACACCTGGCTACCTGTCCAGATGGTTTTCCCCCTCAGCAGCAAGTTTGCCAGCCTCAATCCTTATCTTGAGTTTGGTGTCATTTCCACAGCTTATGGGAAAACTGTCACCGGCGAAGGGGATCACAGGAACAGCAGCCAGATTTAGGAGGTGCTCTTGAAACCTTTTGGTGAAAATTAGGTGAAACTAACAGTGAAAACTCTAGTGAAATTAGATTCTTTGACCAGAATCTCATTCATCTGACCGAATAAGTTTGTGACAGAGTAGGTAAGAACATCTATGTCAAAAAGGCAAAACTTATTGTTAGATAGCTTGAGAGAAAAAGTTTAACTTAAGTATCATGTTATATTGTACTACTATAAAAAGGGTCCTCAACCCCAAACACCCCAAACAATGAGTTATAATTTTGTACATAAATTAATGTTGCTTTGAAGTAAAATAGTCTCTTTCCTTTGCATTAAACATTCATTGCACAGAGTTCTTTGTAAGTAAATATATTAAATTTGGTTGCTAAGAAGGTATAAACTTATGTTATTAATACATCTGGCCAGTAAATTTTATCCATCATCACACAATTAAAAATTTCCTTTAAAGAAAATCGTTACTGGAGAAAAGAACGCCCTTGAAAGTAAGCTTAGGAATTAATGCTGGAAGAAATTCTATTATTTCATTCCATCTACAGCAAGCGGCTTTTTTTTTTCTGGCTGCAACATTAATTGGAAGTACAGAGCCTATCCACCCTGGAGATGTGGAAAATGCCAGTTATGTAGCTTTCTGGACATTTTCCACTGAAACAGTCAAACCCTTCCGATACAGGCAGTATCTCCATCAGCACTGTCTAAAGGGTAATGTTTTGGCCCAAGATCATTGCTTCTGCAGGGATGGTGCCCAGTGGAAGGGAGTCTCTGCAAGGTCCCTGTGTAGTAGAATCATAGAATCATTATGATTGGAAAAGACCTTCAAGATCATCAAGTCCAACTGTAAAGGGCTCACCACTGTGGAAAAGGACCCTGAATCCATCCTGAACACAGCAGAGAAGGAGAATCCAACGGAGGCCCAGCGTGTCCAGAGACGGCTTGTCCCAGCTTGAGCTCTGCTTTCCAGGAGGTGGCTTTATCAAAGCTGCGTGCCCAAAGCTGACCAGGACATGTGTGGCTGCAGGAGCTCCAAGCCCTGTGCAGGCTGGCAGTCGGTGCCATGGGGCAGGATGGATGCTGGGCACATCCACCCTCCCGCGCCTGCTTCCAGTCCTTCCCTCTGCGGGTGGCCCAGGGCAGACCTGGCATCATGCAAGCTGCGAAGGAGGTTTGGGCTGTGCCGCTGAGCTCCTCTTATCCCCACCAGCCACCACTTTGTATAGGTCAATGGAAGAACGACCGGGCCTCTGCACTTGTTTTATGCACAAAACATACTGAAAGAAGACTCATAACAACTTCTACTAACAAAGTGGGACAAATTCAGCCCTGGCGGAAGCAGGAGCCGTTTCTCCTGACTTCAGTTGAGAGCAGAGCACGTTACGCCACAGCTGGATCCGGGCCACAAAGTGTGCACAAACAGCACGATCCACCCAACCAAGTCTACAACAAACAGTCTCACTCCACAAACACCAGTGACTAGCTATTCCAGTTCATCAATGTACAGCAAGAAAGTATTTCTAAAACTTCTGAACCTTATTGAAAAGACAGTTAATAAAAGGCTGGTTCATCTGAATTTGCACAGGTTAATCAAAGGGAGACAACTGCTCTAATCCACACCTGGAAGTTCCTGCATGTGGCAATGTAGGCAAATCTTACACTTGCATCTCTATACAAAAGTTACAAAATTAAATGGTGACATTATATTACATCTATTGTCCATAATATCACAGTGCTAGTTTTAAATGGCTAAAAACAAGAAAGGTTTTAGATTTAAGACATCCCTTCTGTAGAAATATAACCCCTTTGTCCTGCTGTTGATATCTGAAAGCAACCCTGCTTAAAAAAGGTAAATCCAATGAAATGTACTTATTGAAACTAGGTGCGTTTTTCCTTTATAATCTCATCATGTCTGCAATGTATTTCCTAATGTGTCCCATTATTTCCCAAGGAAAAATTAAACAAAAATGAATCCCAGCCTGAAAATCAAAATGTTCAAAAGAACAGTTCTAAAGCCTATACACTTCTTACCAGGTACTAACTAAATAAAACCCTTGCAGATGTAAATACAGATTACTTTGACATTTCTTCAGAATGTGTTAGCTTTTCAACAACATTCACAATGAAGTTTCACTTCTGAGGCCACGGAGTTCCTACTCATCCTTTTCAGTTCTGCTTTCCAGAGTATCTGTATCATCTTCCACTTCTTGAGCTGGATGTGCTAAAGTATCTGCAAAGAAATAGTTCATCAGTATGTATTTCCCCATGCAGGGATGCAAGTCTTCGCTTGGCTCTGCCTGTCTGGTCTTGCACTTGCAGACCAGCAAAGAAACCTGAAGCAGGATGCTCCGAGGGCATCACAGCCTGGCTTTACCGTACTTCAGACTTCAAAGTGGCTGTTACTGAAATAAGGTGATGATCCTTCTCATTGAAAGCAGGAGACCCGCTGAGCTGTGGGGGGGCAACCTGTTACCTTCATGAAATCTGCTCGACCTCTCACTCCTGGAGACCTAATATGCCCTAATATCACGGACACAGAAACATCAGAGGCCGTATATTTGGCTCACATTTCTTCTCCAATGATTACACCCTGTAGTTGGCCACCACTGGGCAACAGCCAACTGGAGTAATGCCAACTGCAGAGGCAAGTGCTTTGACACTCCAAGATTAAATAATTGGTCATAGCTCTTTTGAAGATACTGGGAGGTGCTTCTTGCACCCCATCCTGGCTGCCATCTCTGGGCATTTGGACAACAAACGGTTGTGCACCGAAATGGAAACTGTGTCACACTTTAAGGAAAAAAGGAGGCCAAACAAAAAAGCCCACAAAAGAATTAAATAGACTAGTCTCCATACAGTTGTTATGCAAGCTACATCCTGATAAGTTCTTATCTTTAGCCAGGTATTTACCCCACAGTAACTCTACTAGTTGTATCTACCTATTTGTGAGTGCTTGTTACATTAGTGCACTCTGGAGACGCCACGATGCTTTCAAGGTGCAGCTATTAAATTATTTGCTTCTACACTTGGAGATAGGGACACTGTAATTAAGAGGATTACAGAGTTAATGCTAACGTGCCCTGAAATACCTGTTGGCCATTTGAATGGCCAGCAGTGAGCCTGATGTGGCTTTAACACCATCTGCTCAAGAGCTATGAAGAAGGTTTAAGCCCCCAGGACTCTCTTTGCAATGAGGGTGTTCCTGGGCACCAGCCACTGCAACCCCCTCGCCCCCCAAGCATCTACTGCTCTTTGAAATGCCATCTATTAGCTTCAGTGCATGGTATGGCCTGAAACTCTTATTTTTCTGTGGAAAATGAGAATGAAAATTACTCATTCAGACCTTCCAGATCCATCTGCTGCTGCTGGACGCAGACTCTTTGGTCACCAAGGAAACCCTTTTCCTCCGCTGATTTGAGGTCGTCGGGTGGCCAGCGCAGCTCCCCGCTTTCCACCTCGCCCGACTCGGTGGGCTCCACCACGATCGACGGCAGTCTTTTGGTCAGCTTGGGGTATTTCTCACGTGAGTCTGGGAAGGCCTGGTGAGACATTTGGTGACAAGCCTGTCAAAGCACTACTCGGGGACACGTATTCAGAGAAAGAGAGAAAGCATCAGCAGTATTTCTATATCCATCCTCCACAACTTCCAACAAACTTGAGCAGGGCAAAGAATAGGAGATCCAGAAATCCATTTTTTCTCACCAGTGTGTTGGGCAGACAATTGTTACGAGCTCCTGCAGCCCTTCTAGCTTCTGCCTTTTTACTCTGACATGATTTATTCATGTTTTCTTGCTGTGACAGTTTATTAAGAAGCCACCATTCTGCAGAGCTATTTTGTGTAATGTGCAATACTCTATTTTATGATGCATTCATGCAAAACGGGTAGCCCCAGAGATCACCTTTACACCCAGCACAGCGCCAGCTATTATTTTCCTTTGTCACTTTGAACCTGCAGGTCAGACACTAGACAGGGATTAGAACTTGAAGCTGAACTGGGTGCTTTTTTAGTGAAGGATATTATAACATGTAAAAGTGTGTTCTTGTTTTCAATATAGTTAGTTCATTTAAGCCTTTCAGACTACTTTTTTTCTTTTGTTTTTCCGGAAAATTCATTCCAAATCCTCCAAGTTTTCAGTGTAACATGAACTCTATTGCCACTTCACTGAAATCTTATCTCATGGCTCCTCAAACTTCTGCATATCTGAACCACCAAACTGTAAATTTCCCATGACTAGCTAAGTTTCCACTGGTAATAATAAAAGCAAGGTGAAGACTAGGGCTAGGGCACTGAACATGCGATGGAGAGCAAGGCTTCTCCAAATTTAATTCCCAGCACAGCCACAAATTTGCTGTGTGCTCATGCCCTCACTCACCATGGTCATGCCATGGGGGTTCATCAGCCTTTGCCAGCCTTCATGCAGGTGGAAAAAAATGTTATTGTTTTCAGGATAGCAAGCAGACAAAGTTAAGGACTTTTGAGTGTGAGAAAGCCCCTTCAGTACGGCTACTAAATGAATCACTGAAGTTAAACCTTTCTAATGTTTTCTTGCAGTTGCACTCGCATGGGTGTAACTTGTCCTAAACACAAGCCTGTGTTTGCGATGCTGGTCAGGAAGCTCCCCACAACTTCCTGTCCTGCAGTCTCCTCCTGAGCTGTTTATGAGAGATGAAAATTCCCTAGCAGATGTCTTGACTGTGAGGAATTTTTTAAGAAGCTGCTAAGCTGACATTTCCAAATATGAGATAAGGTGAAAGTACCCTGTTGCTCCAGAATTTTTGGCCACCTTTTGGTAGTTCTGTCCCTTTGCTCATCTGGCAGAAAATACCTATAAAATAGTGGTCAAATTGCTCTATTTCCCAGCTGAGCATGACCTGCTACCTGCGACCACTGCTTAACTGGTTTGGATGGCAGAGGGCTGTGTGCGAGATCACCAGGCCCCCGGCTCACTGATTACAGCAAGAGAATCCAGTGTGATGGAGTATCTGTTTTTTCCATCTGCTCTCTGAAGACCTAGGAAATGACACATGCGGATCTAAAAGTATGTCAAAAGATGGTTATTAAGGCTGCAAAGTCAAGAAACAGAATTTAGGAGAAGGCACTGTGTAGCTTCGGTTTGTCTATTTTTGTTTGCATCATTCTCATGTAGTCTCTTCTTACAGGGATCACATCATGTTTTTTCCATTGAAGTCCTGTATTTACCAGGTCCCTCTAGGAATGAGTCAGGACTGGCAGGAAGCAGAGCACTGCCTGTAGCTCTAGCTTTATTTTTTCTGCAGAAGCTGGAACGTACAACAAGTGGGCAGGAGACTGCAGGAAGGGAAGGAATGGTCTCCTGGCCAAAGTGCCTTTAAGTTGCCGGAAGAGCCCCGATTTCCCTGCTGAGTAACAGACTGTGCATAACTCACTTGTTGTTCTTACTTTTTTTGCTTCGGCTGGCCATCTCTAAAACATGCATAATAACACCTTCTCCTCCCAAAGAGGTGCAATAAATGGACCAAAGAAAATAAACTCTTTGGAGCATATGATCAGGGTCACCATAGAAAAGCCATAAAAACATATGTGGAGTTGGAGCTGGAGTTAGCACAATGTTTAGACTGTGTGCAGCACCAAAACAATGAAAAATTGTACCATGCATTGAGTATAAAAGAGGAAACAAAATGCTGAAAAGGTGCTCCTTAAACGAGGACTATCCATCCTTGCAGTTGATGAGGTAAGGAAACGTCTACAGTACTTTCTATATTCGCATAAGTGGACTTGCACAAACTGCTTCAGTTTTCACTTTCCTGACTTACAAATGCTAAGACTTTGCATTCTTTTAGGGTAGTTTTCGGAGTGAGTACTGGGTTTGCTTGAAACAATGTGTTTCATGTTGAGAAGCAACTCAAATCCAACTGGAAGCTTTTAAGAGATTTGTGCCACTGCTAGTGACACCAAGAGCTGGGTGAACAATCATGGAGACTAAAATGGGAACGTGGGTTGTCATAAGGGCAGTTTGGGACAATCTGATTCTTCCTGTTGAAGCCTGCACCATAAGTGGGCATCTGAGTGGGTTTGTGAGTCTGCCCATAGTCATAAAACGTCTCTCCACTTGCCAGTAAATAGTCCTGACCAGTGCAACTTGTAAGATCCATTTACACTAATTACCCAATGATTTCAAATTGCCTTGTTTAAAGGAGGGAGCTCTGTTTGAGCTTGAAGAAACTTTGCTCATTATCAGAGCGGCTATAAAAAAGGCAAGGCATCTGCTGCACGTCTTCACCATGCAATGGTTGGTCAGACCTGAACGAGAGGAGAAAAATCTGCAGGTCTGCTCTTAAAGGTGAACACGGCCTCTGCCTGCATCCCTCCAGAGCACAGCTAGTGCCATGGAAGGCATGTTCCAGAGAAAACCCTTCTCCCACAGTTCTCACATTTTTAAGTAAAAGCCATATAGGATCAAAAAATATTTCAGGAATTGTTTTTCTGTCAGCCCTGGTCAGTGATTCAACATCTACAATGTAAGAAAGTTGTTAGTTGCCTCGCTCTGCTTCTGAAAAGCAACTCAGGAGACTTTCTTCTTTTTCTACATTTACCTGGGTGGAAGGTCCTCCTTCTTCCTCAGGAGACTGGCTTAACGCAAATTCCTCCATCACAGGTTCCCGTGTGTTCATCACCTCTGTCATGCTGCAAATGTTAAAACAGAATTGGAAGGCTCAGCTCTGCACTTTGGCTCCCCAGTTAATTTAAAAAAGGCGTTTTTCATATTTGTTAAAATAGCTGTGCTCTAGACTGTTCTTTCTAAATAACCCCTTGAAACCTGCCTGCCTGCCAGGGTTCCCTCTCCCAGGTATGTTTGCTGCTTGCATTCCCACAGCTGCAGGACTCTTGCTAGGCCATGTCTGGGGTCACCAACAGTGTGACAGTGTCACTGTCCTCCCTGCAAGGACACAAGGAGGGATATTGACCCCGGCTGTCCCACCAGGGATGGTGGAGAGGAGCCGTGTGGCCCCAGAGCCCCAGCAAGAGAGTGGGATCCCTCCAGTACTCTCAGCAACCTGCTTGTTATTAATGCACGAGCTCAGAGAGCGCATCTGTTGACAAAGAAGTTACTCATGGAAATATCAACCTTGAATAAAATTCACAATCTGATGCTTCATAATGTCTTAAATATTTGCTATTCCCAGATGTCTCCTCTATTTAGCTATGAACCAGTGCTTCTCTTTAAACTGTTAATTCCAAAGACACCAGCTATATTGGTGTCCAGGGCCAGATTTTCAGTCATCTTTAGTTGCCTGAAGGATCAGAGAGGAGCTGAATAGGATTTCCAAATGCATTAGGGAAGGTTTGGCACTCAAACCTCATTTAACGCAGGGACTTAGGCAGGGACTAAGCTGCTTATGTGCCCATTAACCATCTCAGAGCTGTTTGGCACCCAAGTCAGAACAGCTCTAGCCCTTGCTCCCTCCCCGCTCCCGTTGGCTCTAGGCTCCTCCATCGTCTAGGAGGGTATCTGAACCTTTTCTGACATATATTAAACACTAAGCAGCAAACAGAGGCTGAGCTCCACTGTTTAACTTACAGACTAAATGGGACATGTCCATCTGGGATGGCAATTCAACATCTCCCCCAGTGAGATGTGCCCTAGGTGGGTTTGACCTAGGGCATTTCACTCTCCTACGTCAGTATTTGTTATCTGCAGCATCTCTTCACTACCTGAACCTCCTGCACAGGCACCTTGCGTTACTCTGCCCCACGACCCATGCCACAGCACCCCTTTGGCACGACTAACTGCTCCCGTTAATCCTGGCCCTGTCTCGTGCACAAAAGCCTCCTTTGTCAAGTGCTCCTACTGAGAAGTGCAAACTAAAACATCTTAAGCACAACTTCTTTCAGGCTTACATTACCAATTACCCCACAAATCGAATTTTACAATATCTGCAATTACTCCACAGCCCTTCACAATGACTTTAATTAGCTGTAGCGTGGAGCAGCGTGATATCGCGGAGACTTTCACTCCCACTGCAGCGTATCTCTAAAAGGGCACTACAGAGCCTGGAGGAACTGGAGCTCAGCTGTGGGCCAGGGCACGGCCTAGAGGTTTCGGCACATCTGGAATGGCCAGCCAGGGATCGCTGGACGCCAAATTGAGCGGCACACTTTCCAATGTGTGCATGCAATGGGAGAGCATGACTGGGTGCTCTTGTCCTGCTCCCCAGAAGGAAGGGAGCAGAGTGATGCCACCAACATGCAATCGGGAAAATGCAGACTTTTTTGGGCACGCTCTTACTCCTGCACCACCCAGGGAGCCATGCCACGACCCACCTATGGATGCAGCCCTGAGGGGCAGGTGATGGGTAGTGAAGCCCCTTCCCGGAGCTGTGACGGCAGTTCCAGCTGTGCCAGCTGTTAGCGGCACTAGGGACAGGGCTAACGACAACACACATGTGCCCTCATGCTCTTCCCCATCGAAAGCAGCATCCTGCTCCCTCCCTTGCCATAAGGTCTTTCTTTTATGATGCTTTCAGCGTCTTGTGCCCCATCCCCAACTGTCCTAGGTAGCAAGGAAAGGGATTTGGACAAGAAAATGTGTGTTTCAGACTGCAAAGGACCTCGGTAGCTTTGCTGAAATTTATGAAGGCTGGGGCTGGGTGGCCGTGGAGCAGACATGCAACCCTGCTGCACGTCCCAGGGCTCGGCCCCAGTGAGCCACCAGTGGCTGATGCCATTGCTCCTCCACCGGCCAGTTTATTTCCACTCTCCTTCAATAGGCACCGAGCCCTTAAATCAGTCCCCTGTTCCTGTGCCATAGCACCTCAGAGAGACGCATCCACTCATGCGCTCTCAAATGCGCCATGTAAGCTCAAAGATGCTGTTAGGACCTCATGAAATTCTATTATTGAGCAATAACGGACTCCGTGCTTCCCTAAGACCGCATTACACCCTGCAGATTATTTCTAAATGACAGAGACAAATTATTCCGGCTGGGAAAACGGTGACAGTCCTGCCAGTGCTCGAGCAGATGCCTCAGTGAATCAGCTCCCAAGCTGTTGAAGCCCAGGCCATTTCAGAAATCTGCACAACTTAAGGTTTTGATTGAATAGGATGGCAGAAGTGATTGCACTTCATGCGTTTCAGAAAAGCGCATGGGGCCATGCAATTGGCAAAAGAATTAGACTCTAACTGGAGTAGATTAATTGTTCTCAGTTTCCACGTAGGAACAGTAATGGAGAGCAGAAGAAATCTCTACAGGCCATGATAGCAGTGATGCTTCTAACAAACTTAAATAAGTATTTAACTCTAAAAATAACTAGACATAAAAAAAGCTGAAAATAGAGCTGCAAATCAATTCATCCTTCACTTAGAAATCACTTGCAGGACACTGTGTAATTGTTTATAAAGCCACTGGATCTGAAAAAGAGAGTTTGATTGCTGTGTAGGGTTTGACATGATATATGTGCAGGAAAACTTTTTATTTTTCAGGCAGTTTTGATGGAAAGTATTGATCCACTTTTACTGTTGCTTTTATGGGAGAAGTACTAACCCGCAGCAGAAAAGCAGCGGATACAAGCGCTTTATTATAAGAACTACCCCATCCTTTAAACTGGATCTTGCATTCATCTAGGTGCTGATATCACCAGTGACATACAGTAGCCATAGTGATGCAAAACAAGGCAATAAATAGCATTTACAAACAAAGAATAAATTCCCTTCTAGTGGATGAGTCGCCTACTCTGAACCTTAAAGTGCTTCTAACATTGAATTAAGAGAAGCATTTACTTTCCCTAGGTTTAATTAACCTTGAATATACCAATTAGGAGAAAAGTAGCAAAATCTATTCTTGCCTTTCTGTGAAAAAACTATATGGAGAGAAGATTATCTTAAAAGCAACAGCTACTATTGCAGGACCATCCTATTCTGATTTTTTCCAGAGGTATGGGGCAAATGAATAGCCCAGTTTCTGCTGTTCGTCACTGTGCTAAGAAGGTCACTAACATACAGAGCAGTATATAGGCTGACAAGTGCTACACCACCTACTGCCAGAAAGGGCTCAGAAACGATGCGCACATTTTTATTTTAGCTTTGGCACATAGGGCATAATTGACCTGCAAAATTCCTGGTTGCAAAACAATGCAGAGCAGCTTCAGGCTTCGAAAACTGAAAGCTCTTATGTGGATAAGGCCAATAGACAGGTTGGTGATGGGAGCTCCAATTGGAGCAGAAGGCAGAGGCTGCAGCTCGTCATGGGACAGGTCTCCTCATCCCCCGACCAACCCAGGAGGGGCAGGAAAGGGGACACCTGGCCAGAGCATGAGATTTGGAGCTGGAACAAATACTGAGAATGAGACGATCACATAAGCAGTACGTTACCTTCAATCACGTAAAAGGATGTTGTTTCTGAAAACTGTCCTTGCTGCAGATGTTCACTTTGTTGATGAAGTGTTGAACAAACTGTGTCAAATCCTAAATGCGTCTGAAAGAGACAATATATCAGTGTCAGAACGTGCAACTGGAACGGCAAAGCTGGCAAGGACCAATGTGAAAGATTACTACTGCAAACTTGCTGCTGCAGGAGGAGGCGGCAGAAACTCCTGCTTTGGAGGTCTGTATAATTTTCTATGCCAAATGAAAAGGTTTTTGCGAAGGATATAGCTCATAGCATTTTTAGTGAATTACTGAGGCAATTAATGTTCTGGAAACACCCAAAGCTCCTAACTAAAATCCTGTGGCATCTGACTCTTTTCCTGATCAGAATCCTTATTCCTTAGTGTAAGTGACACAAAATCACCAAAATTCTTCCAGACAGCAATTTTAGTGATATTTGGAAAATCAGGGGGAACAAAAAAAAAAAGGGGGAAAAAAACACTAGCTTCATATTACCAGTGAGCAAAAAGCTAATAGTTAAAACACAAAGACAAAATATGCTGAAATGAGGAAATAAGGATACTTTAGGACTTCAATACTGCATGTTTCTTACAAATGTCACAGGAGAAGTGATGCTTGGGAAGGTCTACTCCCAATTGAAATTAATAGTTTGAGTAAAATCAAGATGGGGTGGTCTGCTGAACAGATGTAAAGATCCACCATTTCGAAGCAGGAATCCCTGATTTCTTACAAGTCCTTTGTCAAAAGGTCTTAGCTGAGGAACTTGAAAAGTTATACTGAAGAAATATGATTTTTTGAGAAATTTGTTTATTCCTACAGCTTGCCAAATACATAGTGATGCCAGCCACAGCTATTTCCTTTGATGGGAAAAAGGTGAAGTTTTCAGTGAAGTGAATGGCACTAGTGTATATGTTTTATATCCTCCAGTGGTTTGGATTCTGGCCCAAGCGATTAAACAAATCTACCTGCTCTGGAAGCCTTCTTGCCAAAATTTATAACACCGGCTTAACTGAACACTGATTTTATTCAGAAATAGTGACAGAGAAAAATGGTCCATTGCATTCTGGAGTTTCTTCTCATGCTACAGGCCATGCTTACTGCAGGCTAGCAAAGCAGGAAATCACATATCCACCCAATCTGGAAGAGTTTAATTATTCTCTGGCAATTTTCCGTCCTACCCAAAGATCACACCAACATCACAGAGACTCATGTTTTGCTCATGACTACCATTCAGTAGTTGACTTTTGTACAGAAACCAGAGAGTATCCAACACCATGTCATCCAATACTCTGGGAAGATTTTTATCCCGCTGCCCATTACAAAACTGCTGTTATAAAACATATGAAAATTCAGCAGAAGTGATCTACCTTAAATCTCTTCTTTAATAAAGATTAGATGTTATAAGATCAGTTATAATATAGAGTCAGCTATCAATGGCAGATGAAATGATGCAAGAGATTTCAAACTGGTCATTACTGTTTGCCTCTAGGTCTCTAGTTTGGATAGAGGTCAGGACAGCTGCTATTTCGAGGTATTTTCACATGGATCAGGGGTACACATGAATCCACGCAGTACTGAATGACTTAACATCCACTACCTGTCTAGGCTCAGCAAAGAAGCTATGGGTTGAGCTGGCCCAAGACTGAAATCCTCCCCAAAATTTCTGGGGAACATTGTGCCCCGTTGCATGCCCATAGGGCTCAGCTGCTTGGAAGTTAATAAAAAGAAAAATCACCTGAGGGATGTACAATGGAAGAATTCCCCTCTCCCAGCTCCACATATCAGTGTTTAGAAGCAAAAAAAGCTCTCTTCCCAACCAAGATTTTGGAGAGCTCAGCGTTTTCAGTGTATAAAATCACCAGTGTGCATGTATTCTCTCCAGGGAAAATACTCACTTTATCTGCCTAATAGATGTGATTATCTCCTTTGGCTGACATTAGAGGAAACATTAATACCCTTCCTTCTGCAGTACTGCTTAATCTTTTAAAAACAAGGCATTGCTATCAAGGCCATGCATGAGCCTTTGCTTCAGTGGAAACAGTTGGGAAACGACACCAGTACAGCCTCTCACCATTTATCTCTTCTTGTCTCTTCTTACTTTCACCTGCCTTTTCTGCTTTGCTGATTAGCTTGTCCTGGAACCTCTGTTTGCTCTAAATACCTTCTCCCCAGCTACCCTCCTGCCCCCACGATTAACCTGCAAACCTTGTCCACTCCCTTGTCTCATCTTGCTAATCAGCTTCTTCTCTGGCACCAGGATTAACAACCCAGCTGTGCATCTCCTCTTTATTCCTCTTTATTTTTCTTTTTTTATTTCTCCTGAAAGAAATCCACATAGCCATACTGTCACGATACCCTCCGCTCCTCTTCGCATTTCTCATGTGCCCTTGTCCTGCGACAGTATGGGACCTCCTTGAGGAAAGGCTGCCGTGATGTGTTGAGCGTCACACATTGGGCTGGCAGCTGGGGCTATTTCTGAACTACCACAACAGAAATAATAACTAATAATAATAAACATATTATTAAATAATAATAGTATAATAATAAAATCACACAGTCCCTGAGGCATTGCCAAGGTGAGCCATAGGATGATGCATGTTGCTATTAACAGGGAGCAACAGTTTGCAGGCCTCAGGGGAAGGTGACACTGCTCCTGCTGTGACAACACTTGCCTGGGTTTGGAGAGCCCTCCTGTGCCTTCTAGTAAGAAATAATTGATGTAGGGACTACTCTGATGAGCTGGCTGTGTTCTGTCTCCTTAGGAGCCACAGACCCAAGTGAAGCTTTTGGAGATACAACCACAGGAATAAGAAGAGACCTGACAGCAGAGAGCAGACACAGGCTTTTGTACAGATACTCTGGCCAGCCAGGGTGTGTGGGACACCTCATGCCAGCAGAATCTCCTGGTTTTGCCATGGGGAGAGAAGATTCCACCATGAATAGCAGGAGATACATTTACTTGGGGTAAATCGACAGCAAATTGCAAGGTAGACATTTTCAAAGCAAGCATGCTTCATCAGCGAAACAGCCAGATTTCAGTCCTAGTGGCCCTCAGAGCTCTGAGGAGCTCTGCCCTGGGCAGAGAGAGCTGAGGAGCTGAGCCCTGGGCAGTGCTCCTGGAGGGAGCAGCACTCCTGGAATGAGGTCACTGTCACTGCATCTTGCAGTCCCACAACTGCTCGGAAAGCATCCCGCTTGCAACTGCCCCAAAATCAGCGACACCAGGCACCTGAGCGGGACTCCAGAGATGTGACCCTCATGCCAACGTGCTGTGTCCACACCGACGCAGCGTGGCCATCAGATTGGCAGTTGCTTGGGGACAGGCTCCTCCCTGCTCTCCTCCCAAGCTTCCCGAGTTAATCATTCCCCCACTGAGCGCTAATGGAAATATTATGATAACAGCCTAACAATACCACATTGAAAGTTCACCTTGTAACAAATAAGCGCAGATAGGCTGCAGAAATTGGCCCCGAAAAACCGCTACATGTGCAAATTTATCATTTTTTGGTAAGGCAGAAATGGGTGGCCTCCGCTTCTTATTTCAATGCCCCAGTCCCAGGAGCTTTACCAGTCCTATATTTAAATTGTGCTCTAGAGAGGTTCCCCACCCTGCCCCTTTGAGAAGGAGCTCAGGCTCATGGTCTTGGCCTTGTTTCAGTAGGACTGTAAATACTGAGGTCTCAGCGCTCGCCCATGCAATTGCAGTGCACACAGTTCCCATTGAATTCAGGTAGCACCTCAGACAAACAAGGAATTCAACCTTGGGCATCCCATTAAGGGCTCTGGTAAATACCAACTTTTCTCCATTCCATGAGTCAAGGCTTTGTGCATGCCACAAAATAGGAAAAAATGTAAAAAAACTGTTGATTCCAAGGGAAGCTGGAACTGGTCATGCTTTAGAATTGTGTTAAAGATTAGAGAAGTGATGGTCCACTGGTAAATCTTTGTAAACTGGACAGTCTCGGCAAGCCACAGCTAACCCTGCTTGGTGACTCCCAAAGAACAGCTAGATCCAAGGAGCATTTTCCATATATGGGGAGAAGGGGCCCCTTATATGGGCCATTTTGATGCAGGAGATCAGGCTGGCAGTTCAGCCAGGGCTGCTGCGTGGGTGATCTAGGGCAGAGCTACAGCTGTCGTGGCAAATGAAGAAAAGAAGTGACTGTTAACGGCACATCAGAAGGTGCGTATCCCTGCAAGTAAAATCAGTCAGAGTTTTCTAGGGCCAGGTGCTCCTGCAGATGCAACTTTTCTGTGCCTTCATCTTACGTTATTGCCCTACGTGCCTTTGCTTCCGACATCCCTTAACCATCAGACGTTGCCTTCAACAACAGGCATAAAACTGGATCCCTTGATGTCTTAAAGAACTCAGTAAATGTAATCTCAGAATGGTGATGATCTGATGAGGTGATAACCTCTCTGATGTCTACAGCTGTTTGGGGCTGCTCAGCAATATGCGCCAGATGCTGAGATGTTGGGCATCATGTGGGGTGAGACCAAGGAAAGAGGTTACTCCCTCTTTTTTCCCTCCTGTGACTGAGCTATGGATTAAGCCACATGATGCTTAAGGCCAAATACATATCTGCGCCATCCACAGTTAAGACCTTGCCCCAGAGGGTGGGACACCAGCTTCAGCATCTCAGCACTGCTCAAGTGAGTGCCTCCTTCAGGTTGCTCTGCAGCCTCCCCTTCAGCATGAGCATCTACTAAGCTAAGCTTTTAGGCAATGCAGATAGGAACCTGGACAGTTTCTTTGTTTCCTCCAGTTACACATCTGTAGTGGACACATCTGATGAAGTGTTGTGAGCTCCATGAGACTAGAGAAATGCAAATTACAACATGGACCGCTGAAGATAAATGTGCGTGTGTACGAACTCCTATTTAAACCTCCCACTTCTTTTTGGATGCAAATCTCTTTCCTAAGCAACTGAGAAAAGTGCGATATGTGTCAGAGTCTGGAGATTAGAGATCTGTTCTGTTCCCTCATTTCAGAAGCTCTTGTCTTCTGCCACCCACGCAGTACTTGAGTGCTGCTCTCCACAGGCCAAAGCTGCCTTCCTCTCGTCGGTGGCACGCGCTGTGCAGGAGATGTCGATCTCTCT